CACTTGCATTCTGACCTCCAGAAAAACTAAAAGATGCGCCGAAAACACAAAGAACTGGACGCGCGATTGACAAGAGCCACAATTCGTACTGTGAGAACTGAACTGAATTTGTTTAACTGCATAAATAGACGTCCTTCACATTCTCACTGGTGGTACACAAGTACGATTGACTGTTTAAAGGGTCATAATATCGAGAAGGTGATTTTCGTTCGTATAGAAGCAATCATTTTAAAAAATCGTTATTTCCCTCAAGGATGAATTCGTTCGAACCCAATGACAGTTTCTATTTTACTGATATTTTCAAAAATAATCATGTTGGATATTTTAATCATGATTATAGTATATTTGGTGCACCAAATATATGTTTGTATATATGGATGCCAATATTTGGTTGTAATCAATAAATATCTCAAGTTGGAGTTACAATTTTCATGTGATCTTCCGCTTGGTTTATGTCTTAGTTGACGTTTATTCCTTCACCAGTTGTCAACCTCTCAACTTTCACCGACACATGTACGTATTTGTGCTGAAGCAAAACATTGAAATTTCGATAGAAATAGCGGTTGCGTTTAAGGTATTCATTTGAATCTATTAATGAAGGAAAATTGAATATTCGGTTGACACTAGTATCGCCAGCTGGCGTTTTTTTGAAATGTGACTGCAGTCTCCACGTATGAAGGAGGGCATACTTATAATTTCGAATAAGGATTTAACCCTTGTAGTGAAATTTTTCTGAATAAGTTAGGCTCCCAGAGTCAGGTTTAAAAGCTTAACCCATAAGCATTGGCGGAACCATGTTTTTTCAGTTCCCTGAGCGTCCCCTTGCTGGGGAATTAGGGACACAAAGGAACCTGTGGAGGGGTCACTCAAATGACACTGAGGGTTCTATCCGGGGACACTCCGGGAGATCTTTGGAGCTCGTCAGTGCAAGAAACTGGACGACCTGGTATGCCGCCGTCAATGACCTGGGTACCGTACTGGACTGAACTGATACTCAGGGGACGGTCATAGTTAAAAGTTATATATGGTAACATATTTTCGCATATTAATTTGACTTGAACCGCTCCATTTGATTCAGTCGACTGAGTTTTTGATTAATGAAGGCTTATTCCTTTGTATACTAAACATATACGAAAATAATCTATCATTACCTAAGATATAACATTCATATATACATGTAACACGAGCATCACCCTTTAGCCATTAAAAACGCACCATTTTGTCACCCAAAAACCAACCATAAGTTTTGAGAAAGCAACTTGGCGACTCCTGATCACCGTTGGAACTATTTCTTTGACACCAGTTGAATAGATTATCGGAATATTTATACCACTGACAAAATGGTTTCGCGACCTCAATAACATACGTATTTGCACCATATTCTGTAAATCTGTACCCTAAGCGCCAAAATCTAAACCATTTAGATTAACTCAGAACTGCACTTCAAAGAACTGACCTGATCTTCTGCGCCAGGTCGACAGTGCATTAAAAACGGTTATTTTAAATCATATAAATTGTTCATTTATTTGAAAGTCTTCCGCAAATAAAGTATTAACAAAGGCTGATATAGTTAGCTGAATTTTCATGAGCCATGTAGCACTCATTTTGTGAGATGCGCCTTGTTGACAAAACGGTGAGTCTCAGTTGAATTGTTGTGCTGACGGGGTATATATGGGCTGCATGTAGTATATAGCACGAAATTCCAAAAATAAAGGAACATGATTTTCTGTATGGAATCACATTTATTTGTGTTCGTTATTTTCGTCTTTGATTTCATTTTAGCAACTATTCGTTGCGGAGAAGGACAAAATACTTTCCGTGCAGCAATTATATAGAACAAATTTATCAGAGATGAGCAACGTAGTTAGATTATGGCTATAACGTTAGTAATGGATGGATAATGCAGAACCACTTGTTGGGTGGCTTAAAACATCGCAAATTGCCTGCTACAAATTCACGTTTGTGTCTCGAAATTTGGTAAAACAAGCTCGCGCAGAAGAACACAAAAAATTGTGCTTTTTCTTCGCGCTTTTTGTGGTAGGAAGTATTAAAGGTGTATTTGAATTAGGAGTACGTGATACCAATCGGTATGTTCAAACACACATCAATTAACCGTGTTTTGGTCCAGTTATTAAGTAATGCTTCCATGCAATCAATTTTCGGAGCATCAACTGTGACCGATGCAAAGTTCCCATAGAAATATAATTAAAATCTTACTGAAGTCCTTTTTAGGTCCGATTAATTCATATGATTGTCTTGTTGCACAAAATAATTGCCCCAGGTGGAATTATATAACACAAGAGATTGAAAGATTTTGAATGTCACTCTCACCTTAATCAAATAAAATCATAACTGTAATGGTGCCCCGATAAAACTCTTGATCGTTTCATGGTATTATTACGTAATTTTTATCCCTATGTTTAGACTTCTGAGTGTGCTGAAATATATGAAAATGCCAGTTATATACTGCATCAAAATTTATCAGCCCCAAATGAAATGATTTTGAACAGTGACACGGTGTTAGTCCGTTAATCTCATATTAACGGGTCTGAGAAAATATGACTATGGTCATAATTTATTATGTGATAACTAAACAGGTATCAAAAACGGATTTATTGACATCTACATAGTGTTTGGTTGTCCTTAAAAAGGATGATCAATTGACCTGATAACTAAAACTCGACAACAGTTTTGATGGAAAAGCTGCACCTTAGCTTTTATTGTTAATCTATTTACAATTTTAAACAAAAGTCAAGTAAAATTGCACTTATTTCACCAGATATACAAAGGCTTAATGGAGCAAACATTTGATGCGATAAAAAATTAGAGCTTTTATACAGTTAGCTTCCTACTGTGGTGTTAAAAATCTACTAAAAGACACACATCGCCGGAATGTTTAAGGTAAGTTATTTTTACCTTTGTAAATGTTTTAAAGTATTCCTGTGTTTAGTAAAGTATACTAAAAATATAAGATGTTTTGATTTTGAGGAAGAATTATGCTATATACAGTCGATAATAATTACTTCAAACCTAAACTAATATGATCACAATCTTGACTGTGACTGCTTGTATATAGGTTGAAAGTTTGCCGGTTCCGATATTTACAGATATTTACAAAACATAAAAGATTGACCTTGAAAATTTGATCAAATCAGAACCTTGCATTCCGGTTTAAATACCATATGCATAATAAAGAGATTTCAAACAATTATTCACTCTTTCAAGATTTTGTTATCATTTATTGCGAAGTTTCGCATAATACGATGAAATTTCATAGTTTGCGTGCTTGAACGTAGTCCGCCTTGGTCCATGGTCACATTGATTGCACACTACTGGCTGAATAATCTGGTATTCTTATTTTCACAATCCTGAGACCGTTAAACTACATTATGAAACTTACATTTATTGCGATTATTTTTCATAAATTTGAATTGAGCTTTTATTTTTTCGCAAAAGTTTTACCCAGAGTTATTTAAGATTTCAGGTTTTAAATTTCTTTTTATTGTATCAACAAATGAAGTGCGCCACATTGCTAGGAGGGGGATAGTTTTGAACTGCTCCAACGGACTGCAAACATTAAATGAAAATAATTGCATACGAATTGTTGAACATTAAACAAAGTAAAAATGTATGGCACGTATGTGTAGTTGCGGTCTTCAATCAGTACTAAATAAACAATTAGTTTACTGAAACAGCTCGAATATTTTTCTCTTTACTGAGTTCATAATCAGAAAACATTAGGTAAGTTGGATTATGTGCTATAAATCCTCTGCCTTTACACAACTTTTAATGTAACTGCTTTTAACAAAATTTAGTAAGACAGGAAACCCTTGAATACTCTCTCTAGTAACGGTTTTGTAAAAAGGTGTTGGTTGTTGTTTTTGTAGCTCGGGTAAGATAATTTTATGTTCTGTTGTGTGCCCACCTTGGCAGTTGGATTGCAAACGTCTCAGTCGTTTTTCTTTAGTGCTAATCAATGAAAATATATAATTTGAAATATATACTGCATAGCTTTGTTGAAATCAATAAATTGTTTTCCTTAGAATGAAAAAAATATTTGGAAAGAAAGTATAAAGTACATCTGATTTTGACTAACTAAACATCATCTAACATAGAAATAAATATGCCACTGCAATTTAACGGTATTTTATCGACTGGTTAGTTAAAAGGTTGACGTTACTGCATAAGTTTAAGAAGTAATACATCAGTTAGTATGCCAGTGCATCATTATACATAGAATGTAAGTACAGTAATACGTATTACAGTTAGTCCGTTGAAAATATTACGTTTTCCGAAAAACAGATCCATAAAACGGCACCCATTTCGTTCGAAACATGTTTAATAAAACTATTAGGCTAACATTACAAAGCATCACAAGTGTTTGTTATTAAAATGTAGGAATACATAAATAATGGTTTAATTATATTAATGTTTGGGTGCACATTAATATATTTACAAACCTGCTACTGCTTCCTAAATGAATCTGAGTTTTAATTTTCTAAAACTGCTTGGACCAAAGGACCTTAGCTTAATATTTGAGATGGAAACGGGATTGAAGAAGATTCAATGCTTATAGGTGGTGTTTAATCTGGAAAAAAAGCTAGAAATATTAAGTATTTATATGCTCTCTGTGATGTGTACATTACGGTACTCCTTTTGACCAGACAGCAAAGTTCAAATTTTACACCGCAATAATGGGAACTTTGAAAACAGCAAAGTTCAAAATAATTCCAAAACAAAATCAGAAGGGATTTGAGAAAAATAATATTATTTATAAGAAAATCAAATTAATTTTAATGTTCAAGTCTATTCTGTTAGAGCATTTGTTCATACTTTGAGGTGCTGTGCGTGCAACAAAGTAATTAGGGACTATTTGACAATTTAAAGAACCACAAAAATGCACAGATTTTTGGGAATAAATTTCTAACCCAGATATTGACCAGCACTTCGTCTTTTTCCAGACTATGGCTCAATACGTTCTTCTGATACTATTATTCTGTATGTACTCCGTTTCGGCCCTTACATTGGAAGAAGCCCAAGCGGATCCGGAAAAGTATATTCGATATGACACAGGTGAGCATTCTTAGCCTAAGCTCAACTAACTCATTCACTTTCTTCCAGAGCCTTACAGTCAAATGAAGCACATGCTTTTGAGCTCCGCCATAACGTATGGAATTTTGCTTTTGAGTCTTTTCGGCACACATCTGATTGTGTGCATGACACAACCCGGCGGTGGACGGAACCCACGTCGCTCAAAGTGAGCTAGCAAAATAGACATCATCGAGTCGCTGTGCACTCATTTTTCAAGCATGTTTTCCTCAGCAATGGCTCAAAATTGAGCTTATGCCTGTGACTTTTGTTAGAACAACAGAAAAACAAACAAACTATATATTGTTCGTGTAGATTTGAATTTGAATAAGAAGAATCCCGGGGTTTACTGTGTATTGGGGACAAGGAAACTACACAAACAATAATTTATCTGTCATAGATCAGTCACATGTAAAGAATAGTGTACAATATTGAATTTAATTATAATTTCTTGTGCCCCAGACTTGCTTCATGATTAAAACACCAAACAACAACCAAAGAAATAAAATTATATGTGTGCACTGATTGTTATTTCTTACTTTTCAATTGGATGAGTTCAATGCTGTCCATAAGTTTGGATGAAATTACAGCAGAATGTGGTTTCTTTCTTTCATTTGAATTAAATGACTATATGGATTTCAAAAAAATAATAAAACAGTGCACAGAGCAGAAAGAGTCTGATTTCCCTGGTTCATACAAATCAAAATTTAATAGAAAGTTGTACATTTGTTCACTCTTCCTCCGACGGCAAACACCAGTTCACATTATGAAAAAGTCACCCACACTGACATGTTTCAGTTTTCTAATTCAGGTAGATTTCTAAAATAATTGTTTGCTTAAAAGCACTTTCAAAGTAATTCTAGAGACGGTTTTAAGTTAAGCTTGTCTTATTGTTTTGTTTTGAAATACCTTTTATTCTTGATAAACCTTTCAGTTTTCGGCATTTTTCAGACACTGCACAACTTTTTGTTTCCCTTATTAACGATTAGCGTCGGTGTATCTTATTGTACAATGTAAATTATCCCGAAGAGAATTCCAGTTTACCGTTGGCGTAGCTAATCTTTTTCTACCTACACAAATCTTATTCCAGTAAGCATCCTCGTTATACGATCAGTGCAAGTTTCAAATATTATTGTTCCATTGGTGTTCGCAACAAGAACAGTCGATTAGGATGTTTCCTTCCTATTTGTGCCACATTTGATTGCTTACATGATTTGTTCATGTACATCATCCAAACTATACTCCACTCTGTTTGTTCTCATCAGTACAGCAGATGATGTGCACTGAACTGTGCAATCTGATTTATTAGCATATGGGAATTCTACACTCACGGAACCAATTTGCATGCTTATGAATATGTCTAATGCGACCGAGAGCTGCTTATCAGCGCATGACACTCGTTTTGTATATATTTCGAACGACGTTATTTACGGCCAACGTGGAGTGTCAGTCACATCTGTTTGTACAAAATGACAGATAGAGTTCAGCGTGGGACTAAACGACACAGGAAGTTTAGTATTGCGTTGTCCCCGAGTTGAGGTTTGGCCAAATCGCTTGGATAGTAAGATCTACGTGGTTGGTACACTGAAGTCAGTCTCTCCTTCAACCGATGCAAACAAGATATTCAATCTGCTAGCAAAACGATGCAATAACAAGTTGTATTATTTATCTGACCCGTGCGGGATTACATTGTTGTGGACTTGTGTATTAATACTTTGATAAACTACATTACCGTGGTTTATGGCATATACCATAACTTTGACTATCATCCAAACCCTAAGACACCCAGAGGTGCCAGGATAATTAAAAGTACTTCTCCAAGCAATTTGAAGTGTACAAGCAGTGTTCAATCGGTAATTTATACTGATGACCAATAAATGATGCACTGAACTAACTGAAAAGCTCAATATAAAATAGTTTTGCAACATATGAATTAAACTAGTGAAAAGTACTAGGTCCGCAAAAACAGTAACCAATCAAAATAAACCATCCCTGATAATAATAACCCGGGTTGAACAATTCATATTCAGTTAAATAGATTAGAAAAAGTGTTTTAGAGAAATACAATATTCCCTGAACTTCGGTAAAATATGCTTACCAATTACTTGTTAATCACCCATTTCGAAGAGGGAAAACTGCAATATTGGTCCCTTAAAATAAAACTGTTGGCAGATAAATTAGGGGAGGGGGGGAAGTTTAAACGCGGTCTTTAACCGAGTCGTGAGGCAATAATTGTTGGTCTGCATTTCCCAAATAGAACATTCCAAATAGGTTTAAACATTTTTACGGACATGGATCCAACTATCACTGAATTCTTCCACGATCATATCATCCAGTTATCTGTGGTAACTCTATGAGAAAATGCAACGCTGATCCTCGGAAATTAGTGACCAGTGAATTTATTCTTACGTAGGGTGCTCAATTGGGGTTTGATTCGTGTTAAATAGTTTTACCAAGTATAGTTTGAATTGAAATGTGTTTATTTCAAGTGTACACATGTCACGATTTGACACTTTTTGTGTTTTGTTTTGTATTTTAATGATTTCAATAGGTAATGGTATCTGCATTTCAGTAAAAAAGTTGTTTACCGTTGCATTGTGATAAAAACAAGGAGACTGTCAAAGGGAACAATGATCGAATGCAGACAAAAGAAGATCATTTTCGTCACAGTAACCTTGTTTGCAACACTGGATGATTTTTGGATAGACAGCTCCTTCAGCACCAGTCCAGTAAAGAATGAATGCTGTGATTCAGTGTTTTGTAGGTGGGTGAGAACTGTGAAACCAGTCGTGTGCTTCCAGGAAAATTTTGTTCAGTCATTCACATACTATTTATTATGAAAAGAAGATCATGTTTATAGTTTTGCAGTTGGTTCGTAAATGATCTACATCTTTTCAACTGGAGTGACGGGGTACAGCCCACTTATGATAAAGGTTTATACGGGATGCTAAGCAGAAGCTATGGGATCTGGTTGGCACAAGGGAAGGGCAAACAGGTTAGACGTGTGGCTGAGATTGTTAGGTTCCTTATAGGCGAAATTCACACACGAGGTTATGAGAAGAATGCACAGTTTCACTATTAGTGTTTGTGGAATAAGAGAAATATGGCCAATAATTCGCAAGCCGCGGTGAATAGCAATGAAATCCTATTTGGGTATTTTTTTAACACAAGATAATTCAATTTATTAATTCAGTTTTCATTGAAAATAGCCATCAATGGTAGACGAAACATAAAACAAAAGCATTGCGAGCCGCATTTTATTAAGGAAGCAATCATAGTTAGTCAAAGAAAGCATGCTGTTTGTATCTCGCAAAACGACCTGGTTTTAGTGGTAATGTAGCCTACTGGTTACAGGTCAATTAAGTTTTGAAATTTAATAAGAATATTTTATTTTACCGATTTGACTTCACATTTTCACCATCATCGCTGAGGTTGGCATGAGGATAGGGAGGAAGTCCCAGAGATCAATGCCCGAAGCTTCTGGATCAAACATTACTACACATATTCATCAGGCACTTTTTGTGATGAATTCGACGCATCTATGATACTTATATATATATGCATAGAGAGAGATAGAGTATATATATGTTTAATACCGGCTTGAGAACAAGCATGGTGCCAACGCTATAACAATATTAACCAAAAAATAACGGGAGAGGGTTGGAATACAGAGTATAAGGGAAAAGAAGTAACAGATAGAATGGAAGATTAAGAATAAATGGAATAACAATTTTTTTGTTTCACCGTACACTATTGATATTTTTCGTGTTGTTTGTTGTTTTTAAGGGGCCGAGGATTTTGGCAGGCAGGTCGTACAGCATTCGTAACACTGACTTCCATTCTGGGCCATATCTCTCAGTTTCTCTAACCAACGACAATCCTCATCCCTTGGGCCCCAAATTGGAAGGCGGGTTTCATTTATACGCATGTTGTTCTAGAATGTTTGTAAATTCATTATCAGACCGAAATGTAACCGGTGAAATATAATTGTTTTAGGGATGGGGTGTATTTATTGAATATATATATATATATGTTGGACCTCTATGGAAATAAAAGGCCGGTTGGTAAAAATTCATTTAATTGTAGGTATATATGCGCATTTCCAAGAGGCTTTGTACAAGTGGACTTGAGTATCTCACGTTAGAGAGAAAATGCAATAGAAAAAGCAGCGGGGGCTAAAAACCAATCATTTGAAGAATCACAAGAGACATTCTGAGCTATCTCGCACGGGGCATAGAACCACTAACATTATCAGTCTATGAGCTTTTGCTGGAAAAGTGACCATGTCCAACGGTGACCATTTAATTATTGCCTTTATCCTCTGACATCAAGCGAGAAACTGAATGGCAACCTGTAATTGTAGCCACTTTCAGTCTCGAATAAAAGAAACCGGAAACGCTGCCAAAAACTAGCCAGTAAGATTTTTCACCACCACCAAAAAATGTCACTCACGCAATGTGAAAGGCTACTTAAAATCTGTAATAACTTAGGTCTTCAGACATGGAAGCTTGCCCCCCTAAGCATTACACAGACTAACGCCATAGCTTGGTTTCAATGAGTGAGTAAGTGCTGGTTTTACTGTAGAGAAACCTAGTTTCATCAACTTGGATGTTTTATTAGAAATGACCTAGTTACTAGGAGATGAATTTATTTGAGTTCATAAATTACATTTATCAGTTATTTCACTAAATTGATAGATCAGTACATTTATAGCAAACTAACAGTCTAACATTAGGTTGGTTGCTCTATTGTTAACTTGTTCCCGTTTTGAAACCCTACTCATTCGGTTGAATTCTTCAAATTCGTTGAATAAGCGCGCCCTTCGATTGGCTGCGCTACACTTGCACGCTCTCCGTCACATTGTGGGAATTTTCACCTTTTCACTCATTATCATGCGCTATCGTTACTCACGGGATGATATTATTTGTTTCAAACGTGCCGGCACATGCTTCGATGGTTCAGCGGTCTGTGCGACTCCATTTTCTCACTGTCCAGGCTGAACC